TCACTTTGGTGATGCCAAAAGAGAAAAAAGGAACAGAGGTGGCTGTCAGGGTCTCATTCATCAATGAGGAAAAAAAAAAGCTTGTGAGAAATTCTTAAAAGACAGAACATGGGTGTTTCCAGATGTGTTTGGAAAAAATGAGGATCTGAAGCAAGGATATGTCAGCAACCAGGAATAGTTAATTAATCCTTAATCTTCTACACATGACCTGGGCAAGCCTGCATCTGGAGGTCAGTCAGGGCCTATCTTCCATTGCCTGAAATTGGGACATTCTTGACCATGAATTTAACATTTGGTACCATGCAGTACAGCACAGCCCCAGAACGGTGAATCAAGGCAGCACTGAAATCCCACGGAAATGAGAAAGAAGCATAGGTGAGTTGGAACTAATTATTTCATATAGGCATACCTATAAATATACTTAATTAGAATTCCTGAAATTAAAAAACACACACACACACACACACACACAAAAAGAAAACAACAACAAGGAGGGAGATGAGAGGATGCTGTGGCTATTATTTTGTTAAATGGTAAAGACACAGCTACTGATCTGCTCTTTCTATTGTTAATATCCAATAACCTAAGAAAGTCACTCAGTTGGTAATCTTGAGAAGGATAGAGTAAAAATGTGTAACTTTTGAGAAACAGATGAAAATCTGATGTATCTAATGGCAGGTAGATAAAAAGATTAAAAAATAAGCAAGAAGAAAAGAATGAAAATTGTAAACTATGAAATAAGGTAACAGATGAAAGTTCTAATAGTAGTGTGATTAAAGAAAATGTAAATGGATTGAACTCACCTATTTACTGACTTTTTATTCTCAGAGTGGTATAAAAGTAATATTTGGAAGTATGTTGACTAAAGGAAAGACATTTGAACAAAATAATAGGGAATCAGTAACAACAGAGATGGAAAAACAAATATTTGAAGCAAAAATAAAGCAAAAACAGGCCAATGTTAAATTTTTTCTATTAGACAAAAGAGAATCTGAGGTAAAATGTATCATAAGAAACAGAAATGTTTCAACAAATCAAGAAACTCCAACAACCCTGACTATATCTGCAGCTAACAACAAAGATTTAAAATAAATAAAACTACAGATGATAGAATTATAGGAAGGAAAATACCTAAGGTTTGTGATTTTAACATAGGCTTTTCAGAATTGTCAAGCGGATCCTATCTCATCATGCTATAGTGAAGAAATGTATGTGTTCTGCATTATTAACCTTATGTATATAAATGAAAAAATATATACATTGTATACCCAAATACAGAAAGCAATGCTTTTTGCATACATGAGGAATATTTAAACAAAGTGTTTATGAATTAAGCTAAAAAAAGTCTCAAAAATTCTATGGCGCTATCTATATGGAATATGTTTTCTGACCAGGCCATGATAAAATTAGAACCCAGTAAAAATAGCACAGCAAAATTAAGTTCCACATGTCTGGATAATAAAATATACCACTAAGTAATTCTTGTGTTAAAGAGAAAGTCCCAAGAGAAATTACATCTGAATGACAATTGCATTTTAAATGTAAAAAATTGCAACATGTAGCTAACGTAATATTTGGGGGAAAATAGCTTTTTTCATATAATTATAAATTTTTATTTATTTTTGAATATTTTTATTAGTTTACAACACTGTATTGTTTCAGAAGTAAAATATCACACCCCTTCAGATACTTATTAGAATGCAAGAATTATAAAAATATGTGTACTAAGTATAAGTGAACTAATTGAAAAAATTGAATTGGGTGCCTATTTTTTATTGTACAAGTTCGAGTATTTTTTGGACACTATTTATTCACCAAATATTTAACTGCTAACTATATACCAAAACCTGTACAAAGACTGAGGATACAATGGTGAGAAAAATGGAGGCGTTTAAATTCTGATAGGAGGATACACGGATACACAATAGGTCATAAGTAGAACTGATTAAGATAAATATCAGTCAAATGCGCTTTGCCCAAATTTGTACAGTTCATACTTTTGCTTGAAATAATGTCATTAAGAGAACCCGCTGTAATATGAGATTTTGTACAGATTCTACTACAACGTGATCCTCCACCTCCCCCGCCGGGTTTCCTGCAAGATCTTAGGAAAAAAGCATAGTGCTACAGAGTTTTTAGGCATGTATATTAATTACATAAAGAAATTAAAAACTGTGATAGTGACAAGTGCACAAGATACAAATGTTGTGCTATCTAGAGAACACAAAGTGGCAACCTCTGGAAATGAACATTTATAAGTTAAATATAAAATACGAGAGGATAGAAGAACAAGTGTTCCTGAGGCATGGGCAAATCTCTAATTCCTAAAAAACAAAATGAAAAGAAAACTTCAGATTTGGTTGTTACTCAGGTTAAAAATAATCATCCATGTTATATAGAATGGATTCAAATCATATAGTTGTCTGCACTAGAGTCAACAAACTTTTCCTTTAAGGGTCAGAGAGCAAATAGTAACAGGGGTTGTAGGTCCCTACATTTACTCAATTTTGCTATTGTAGCATGAAATCAGGCCCAAACCATAAATAAACTGATGGCCATGACTGTGTCTGAATAAAACTTTAGAAAAAAAAATTAAGTTATAAAAAAAAGGGGGTTGGGCAGGCCAGATTTAGTCAAAGGGTCACAGCTTGCTGACCTCTGGTTTAGATCACAGGATTGTCAATAAAATAGTGTTCACTTTGAACAATATTTATGGAGCACTGTGTCCCTGGCTTAATTCAGAAAGTGGAAGATATAGCTTTTCATATACTATTTCTGCTTTTTAGGATCTTAAGCTTCCAGCTCAGTTATCTACCAAAAAAGTAGTGGTCTTACTCACCTAGCAACATGTAAGAACTAAGTTATAGGATATGTACTACCTCAGCCTCACCACATCAAAGTTGAAATGGGAGCTACAATATATAAGGAAGATTTCTTAAAGAGCAAGCAGCTCATCTACTCTTAAATCATCTTCTTGGGCCAATTTAGAACTGCAGAGACACACACACATAGATCCTATCTCTTCTTTCCACTCAGCCACTTCCTACAGAAGAACTTTTTCTCATTGTTCTTTGTTTTGAAGGTATCAGTTAATGTCCCTAAGAGAGGAACTGCTACTCCTACCATAAAGGAATTACAAATTTTGTAATAATTATGTAATAGTGTACTTCATTGTCAAGATATTTGTATGTGATTAACTAGGAAAAGTCATCAATCATCTGATGAAAAACATGTATTTTGCCTCAAGGACTTAATGAATTATATAAATGGAAATGATTCAACCTGATTGATAATAAGAGGTGGATGAGAAATGGGCACTCTCAATACAGTGAATGACATAAATTTATTTCTGTATCACCAGGAGAAGCCATTGCAACCCTTGCAGTAAGTTCCACAAGTCTCCAAAATACTCATATTCTTTCAACTAACAGTTCCACGGTGAGAAGTTATCCTAAGGATAAATATACAAATATTTATTGCAGTATTTCTTTAAAAAATTTTACAAAGACCTGGAAAAAAATGACCCAAAACAAAGAATTAAATAGCTCAATTATAAAAGATCCATAAGATGAAACAGTGAATAAACATCATTTATGGAGGGACATTTGATGATGTGGGAAAATCCTACTAGAACAACTTTAAATATCAAGAGTACAAAATTAACACTGTGTATTTTGTATAATCCCAAATACCACATCACTGTGTTTATGAATGATTTTGTTGCATTTATACCAATCTGTATTTTCCAGGATTTTGAATAAACATACTTAAAAAAAATAAAAACTTGTATTTGAAAAGTATATTCCCTTTGTTACCGGTCTCACAAAACTGTCATAGGAGTTAAAAAGGAAAGTCAATATAATAGACATAATATCAGCACTTATGAAGCAGACCTATGCATGACACTTGCAAATTAAAAATTACAAATGAAAAAAATTAGAAATTATATATCTGCAATTATCAAACTTGTTTTCCATGTAAGGAGAACACTTTTTATTTCCCCAAATGGTCAAGCTCCTAAGAGACTTGAAACCATAAAACAGTGGCCTCGGTGCTTCAGGGTTATTTTGGGGAGGTTGTAAATAATGACAAACTTGTCTTCAATGACATAGCATGTTCCCCAAAACAATGAAGAATAAACTGCTTGGGGATCATTCATCACTGTTTCCGTTGTACATGTTAGTTTCTGAGCAGTTAACTTGGAAGAAGAATTTATGTGATTATCTGCATTTGCTCTCTCAGGATCTATTCTTGGTCCCTTTCTGACATCTCCTACCTCAAGAGGCTGCAGCTCCCATACTCCCTTGCTTGGGTTTGCCAAAGGAAGGCGTCAAAAGGAGAGAAGGGTGTGGTTTTTTTTTTATCACCCTTGCCCTCAAGATGTAACTCTTAGCAGTGGCTGCAACTTAACAAAGCTGAAGATTTGAATGATGCCTTTAAAAATAAATCATAATCTCTTTCCCTCTTTATTCATTAAGCCAAAAGATGGCAACAATTCCTGCTGATGTCAGCCCCTGTGTGCTTAACCCTCCCTTGGTAGTTCTATTAACTCTGCTTAAAGTTCATTCATTAAACTTTCTTCAGTTAAACCACTTGAGTATGTCATCATTCCTGTTGGGGCCTTGCCTGTTTTAGAAAAGAAAAAAGAAAAACCCTTTCTAGAAATCACTGCCTTAGAGGAAAGCCTATCACCAGTTTCAAAAACTTCTGCAAAACTGAAAAAAATGTGGAAGTTCCACATTTAAGCTATAGCTTGAAATTATGGAACAGACAAGTTGTAAACTGTCACTATGAGAATTAACAAACATTTTAAATGAATGACTGTGAAGTGAGATCTAGTTAAATTTTACCTTGAATTTCAATGAGATTCAAGACAATCTGTTAATAAAAGTCTGTCTTTTGAAAAAATTGATTATTCTGAACACAGTTTCCGAACAAAGATACAAATTTAATGTGAAATGGACAGGTATAGAAAAATATTTTGCAGATTGACAACTTACCTCTTTGAATTTGTGACTGAGCTTGCTTGTGTCCAGGTCTGAGGGGGAAAACATGTCTTCGTTCTCAGGCAGCTCGAAGACTTCAATGGCAATGTCACTGCCAGGAAGAACAGGTCCTACCTCATCCTCCTCTTCATCTGTGGCATATTCTCCTGTCTGAAAGGAATGGCATTTCAGAAATCCAACTGTCCTCCACCTCCACCTCACCAGGTAGAGATGGGTTATTTGAAAATACTTCATAAGAGATAAATAAAACATGTCATCAAATGGTAAACATGTAAGTTGGCTTTTAAGTCAAGCATGCCTCATGCAGCCAGTGTTATAAACAAATGTTAGTTCAAAGATCTAAGTGACATGTCTATGTCATTATGTGTATCTTTTTAAATCTAATAGTATCAGTGGCATCTTCAGTGAAAGTTGTTTTCAGTGTTAATTATTTATTTGATGGGTTTTACTAAATAAAATTATTTAGTAAGGGAAATAACTCCTTTCAATTCCCAGCCCCCGTGTGAATAAGGCACCCAATATTGGGAATAAGCAAGTAGGAAGGGGAGATCAAAGGATTTAGAGTTGGAAGCTATTGCAATCAACCTCGAAAAGGCTTAGTATTAATTTCCCTATGCTTTTAAAGTTCAACCAACTATTCCATTTGTTTATTTGTTACTTATTATGGTGGTTAACCAAGGATCTAAAGACTAAGCCAAAGGTTTCTAACTCAGCCTGTGTTAAGTGTATTGCTTCGCCTGCACAGTGGTTTGATGTATCTGAGTATTTTGTCAATGTTAAAACAAAAGATTTCATATGAAATTCTAGAGTTTCAGGTTGTTTAAGAAAGTCGAAGAACTGGCATAACAGGCACAGTGACTTGGCCAGAGTCAGCAGTGGTTGCCCACTTTAGATGGATCACACACTTTCCAATACCCAACTTCCATAACTCTGTATTGCTTCACACTATTAGTTTCACTTCTTCCTGATATCCATAGACCCCTGTAGGTACTTGAGTGCATGACCCCTGGAACAAATGTGCCTCCTCGCCACTAACTTCCTTAACATTATTAAAAAGTAGCTCCTTTTCTGGCAGCATAAAACAATAAGACTCTAATTCAAAACAATTGTTTGAAATCTATACCTTATGATATCATTTAAAGATAAATCACTGATTCATGGGGCTGAGAGACAAAGCTCATTTAATTCATCCCTGTTCTTTCAGGTAGTATTATAGCTAACACATAAAAAAATAGAAATTCATATTCTAAGCCTTTAAAAACTTTCACAAACAGTGTACTGAGTGATCTATTCCTTTGATTAAATAGGCTTCACATCTGATTGCTGTTTTTTCTTTTGGTTCTGTACTATATTCTCTTTGCTAAAGGTGAAACTCTATTTCTTTTACTATGTTTGTACATGAAGGAAATCTGGTTATTAACTTCAGTGTTATAATTCCTAATGTCTGGAAGACCATTTATAAAGTTGCCATTCTGACTTCTCTTTTTCAAGTAAAATTATTCTAGTTACCTCATAGGTTTCATTCTCTGTAATGGTCTTTGTTCTTGTCCTCTGCCTTCTTTCCAAGTCTTCCATATTTCTTTTAAATTGTGGAGCCCAGAAGTGACACAATTTCTAGCAAAGAATCTGAGGGCCACTGACCATGAGAACAAACTGTCTCAGTGTACTTAAGACTCGATTTCCTCACACAGGGGCACTTATCAGGAAGACCTTCATTCTAGTGACATTTGCGGGTAGGATATTTCTTGCAAAACAGTAATTTTCTTAACTGGTTACATGTTAGAAACTCCTCCCCTATTTCCCAAATAAAATCAAAGATTCCTTGACTGACAGGTAAAGAAATTGATGGTCCCCATCTTGATCCGTATATGCTTCTCAGTACCTGGACCCTAGGCTCTTTTGAAACCATACTACTGGGCCTCCCTGGTGGCGCGGGAGTTTGAGCACCACACTGTGAAGCTGTCCGCAGCCTCTGCAGTGAGGGTTCAATCCCAGCCGGCCAGCGAGAATCCCACATGGCGCGGCAGACCTCTCCTGTCTTGCCCACTGCTCCCCTCAGCAGTGGATTTCGTCAGTCTGCCTGTTCTGTTCTCTGCACTGTCTCTGGTGAATCCTTTCACCCTCCCACACCTCTGGCCTGTACCCCGGTTCTTGTATTAAAAAATAAAAAAGAGGGGCTTCCCCAGTGGCGCAGCGGTTGAGCGCTGGGTTGCGAAGCTGCCCGCAGCCTCTGCAGCGCTGGTTCAATCCCCGGCTGCTCCCCGGCCACCGGAGGAGGGTCCCACATGGCGCGCAGACCTCTCCTGCTGCCCGCTGCTCCCCTCAGCAGTGTACTTCGGTCCTTCTGCCTGCTCTGCTCCCCGCTCTGGCTCTGGTGAATTCTCTCACCCTCCCACGCTTCTGACTGTACCCAGTGCTTGTGTAAATAAATAAAAATAAATCTTTAAAAAAAAATAAAAATAAAAATAAAAAAGATACCATACTACCATACTAACCATACTACCCATTCACCAATGGGTAGTTTGTAAATCTCAGTGACATTAATTAATAGTAACAGCGCAAGGCTGGTTAAGCACAAAACCTGAGATGCATTGCTGAAAGTTTTGATTTAGAGATATAAAACTGTATGCTTGTTTTTATTCTACAATTACAAGTAGCAGCAAGGCCATGCTTTTTAAATGAAGATCTAAATAGGTGTGTAAAATTCACTTCTACATCATAAATTTGATGAATATCATGAATGACTCAATAAAATATTTAACTAAATTTAAAGTCAGACAATGTGGCACATTTTAAACATAAGAGGCAAAATGAACAAATTGGCTTTTCTTTGCTAGCTTGAAATAGATACTTCTTCATTATGTGTAAGGGAATAAATAAAAATATATTGCCAGCATGGGATCTGAAATAAAACAGGATCTCAACAAATATTTTTAAAAGAATAAACTCAAGGATGTCAATTACATTTACTTGATAATATCTATAATCTCCTAAGGAGGTTGTTAATAATAAATTGCAAAGTCTTTAAGAAGGCAGCATTTGTTTTTTAACACTCTTATAGAATTAGGGCATGTACAAAACATGCAATTCTTACCTCTATGTATAGTTTTGCCAACTTTTTTAATTATCAAAATTATCTTCATAAATGTTAAGAATTCTTCCTCTTGATTATGCTCATTTTTGACTTTACCAACCTCCTCTCCTCTACATCCAACTTACCTACAACCAATTTACCCACAACCACACTAAAAATATTTTTATCTTTTCTCTTTTCATCTACTAATGTTTTCTCTTTCCAATTAGCCTTACAAGCATCCTGAAGACAAGCTATGTCGTTTAATGTCTTTATTCTACTTATTACTTATTAGAAGCTCTGGAAGCAATGTTGAAAAACTTAACATTGTAATTATCTCTCATTGATCATTTATCATTCCCAGACTGGATAGGATACAGAATCTCACAAAAATCTGAAAATTTGAAAGTTATAGTTAATGTACTAGGAATTTAAGATTCTTCTGATTCTTTTACCTTTACTGAAAATGTAAATTATTTTTTATGGTTAACACACAAGTAAAACAAATGACAGGAAATGATGTTAGAATTTCATAAATCTCAAAATTAGACTGGATTGAATCTGACATTTACAGAGGAGATGGACAATGTTGTATAAAAAAGAAATTGCTACGCAAAGTGATTCCATCAGTATTCAGCCCCTTTTCTTTACTTGTGTCATATTCAACATATTTCAAATAACTAGAAATTCTGGAATATTTTTTACCCCAATCTGAAAATCCACTTAAAATGAGGCAAGACTAGTTCTTAGTATAGTAAATGTTCCTTTTTATCTCTTTATCTGCCTTCTTGGTCAATATCTTATAATTCTAAATAGCCCCTTTAAAAGAAGCAAAAATGAAGAAAATTCTTTTGTGACTTATTGTGTGCCCCACAATGTACATTCCTTAAAAACTGTATGATACAGGTATTTCTGTACTTTCGTAATCTCATGAAATTTAGATCAGAAATTTTACCCAAGGTCAAAGAATTTGCAATGTTGTTAAAACTGTATGTAATATATTCTAGAGCCCGTGCTCATTCTTCTATACTATACTATTTGCAATTTACAGAAACTAAAGCTTTGCAGAAAAATAAAAATTGGAAATACAATCCTTTCATATTTTCCCAACTGAAAACCCTAGTGCATGATCCTGCTGTTTTGAGTTTCACCTTTGAACATTCATCTCTGAACATTATCATTTAATTCACTTTGAAGACTTGCACCTGTATCCAGCAAGCACTTAAGTTCTTGTCCATTTCTTTTCTCTTATAATATGCACTCCTTAGACAAATGCATAGAAATTTTCTTCAAAAGGCTTGGCGTATGGGGCTGCTGATGTTTCATGCACTCTTTCTTATATAAACCAGAACCATTGCATATAATCTATACAATTACTGCAGTGTCTTAAAATAGATGAAAAAGGTACTTCAAGAGAAAATGAGTAAAATTCCTGTGGAGTTTTATGATTTGTTTCTTTTACATTTCCTTCTTACATCTAATTTTCTTGAGTTATCAGACTTGCTGAAACTCCCATTTTTGTAAACATAACTTCTTTTATACTCATACCAGATCATTTAATATTTTATTAAAATACATTATTATAGGCACAGCTGATAGGTTCTGCCTCTTACTAAACATACAATTATTAACTGGTGGGAGAAAAGCCTGTAGACATACTAGAGCCCGGAACACTCAGGAGAGCAGTCACAACAGACAGTATTTGTCATACTGATGAGCTGGGTAAGTTAGGACTGATTAAAGAATCTTGGTTTTGAAATCACTTAGAACTGAGTTTAATTCTAACTATTATATTGGGAAAGTTAGTTTCTAGACCTATGTTTCAATCTTCTCATCTATAAGGTAAGGATAAAAATAGTTCCTTAGTACTGTAGTTTCCACTTATCCATGGGGAATACATTCTAAGACTGCCTGAAATTGCAGATAATACTGAACCCTACATACAGTATGTTGTTGTTGTTTATTTGGTGCACAAAAACACCTAAGAACAAGTTAACAATATACTGTAATAAAGTTCTATTAGTGTGTTTTCAGTCTATCCATTTGTCTGTCTATCCATCTATCTATCTATCTACCT